GAAGAAGGAGGGGAAAAAGAATGGAAGTAGAGGATGACTAGAGGAGGAGAGAGGGTGGGTGATGGAGAGAGAGGGGAGGAGACGAGAGGAGAGGGGGAAACAAAGGAGGGGAGCGCCAGACAACTGGTGGCGTCTGGTGTTCCCCCATGGGAAACTTGTAGCTAAATCTGGCCCTGTAGCGTCTGTCCTGCGTGAGTCTGTGTGAGTGTTTGTGTGTGCGAGTGGCATCTGGTTGCATCCCAGCTAGAAAGGAGCGATAATGGAAACGGTGTGACGAGAGATCTGCCTAAGTGGTCCGCTCTCTTTCACATACACTTTCTGTTGGAGGAGAAGGAATGTATCGGGTAGAAGCTGCATCTAGATACACTGAAGTACAGGGGATTGGAGAGGAAGGAGTGAGACAGGTTGTGGTTGTGTGTTTTAGTATTTAACTGCCTGGGAATGGCCATTTATCGAACAGAAGACAAGACAGAATTTAGTGATTAAATATTTCTGATTGTGAGATTAAGAATTTGTCATCTAAGTTTGGATGTACAGCAGTTGCATGAAGTATGACTATATTACATGAACAGAGCCTTAAAAGCAAAAAACAGACCTTGCTTGGTCTTACACACACACACACACACACACACACACACACACACTCACAAATTCACACACCAGTGGCAGCCACCTGTCCGCCGCCTCGGGCAGTGCTGTTCTGATCTGTTCTGGTCTAAACAAACGCCACTGCATGACACTACACACACTTTCCTCCTCACACTTCCTCAATACACCTTTCATGCTCTCTCTATAATTCTTTCTTAAAGCCGCTTTTATGTTATTCAGTTTAAGCATAAAGACCATAAACGACTGAATAACAAGACTCTTGGCATAGATGGGATTTATTTACATCCTAACCCAGCCAATAAAATTCACACTATCATTGTGTAGCGCTGTATATTCACTGTACAACATATATTGTATGTTTTTTCCTCACGTATTTGTTGCTCTACGTAGATTTACATACGCTTTTTGGAGGCTACTACCCTACTGCACTGAATGCACATATGCAGACCACTGTGAAGCTGAAGAATGTGTCATTTTAGTGGCTACACCTGAAGCACATTTAAGTGTGAGGTGGTGGCAAAACAAGACAATGAGCTTTCATTTTGGGATTGTTGTGTCTTTTGTGTCTAGACCCAACGCAGTACTGGGAAGCTTTTTTTGCAGAGTTTGTGTAATGTTGTTAAGTTGACAGACAACAAGAGACTCTGCAAAGTTACTGAGCAACTGTCAGCAGTCATTTGTTCTATACTGATAGTTTAATTGAAATCTAACTCACACCTTACATAAAGATACAAAGAGAAGCCTTGTCTTTTTTTTTTTAACTTTTGCAGCACAGATCTGTTCAGGGCATGCATACCACCTACGCGCTCCTCTAGTGTAGTCACTTTCATTGATTATATTGGAAGCATAGTGTTGCAGCATTCGCTCCACATAAGTTCCGCATACGTTGCATGTTCAGTGTAGCTACAGCGTTGGGGTTTAGGCTTAAACTAGTCTCACATAGCCAGACCTATCCACACAGCACTGTGTCAGTGTATTTCTCTAAACCAATCCCTGTCATTTTCAGTAGCACTAAGCCCAGGATGCAGTGATGGTGCCCCTGCAAGAAGGAAAAAAAAAAAAAGTGACTGGGAATATTTTCAGGGGGGTGGGCACTTTCATTAAAATGGCTAATTCACTGAAACCTTCAAAACTCTTCGTTTTCAGCTTGTGCGTTGCTGCTTGGAGATTGTTAGTGTTTCCTGTAGTGAAAACAGTAACATGCAGATAACAGAAGGGGAGAAGAAAGTTGTGTGAAATGCACGGTGGAAACGGCAGGCTAATACCCACAGTCTACATCTGTTGAGTCAGATTAGGCTTAAACCAAGTCTTAGAACTAAAATTTTACATTGTGAGGACAGACCATGTGACTGTATGTACAGATGTATGTCCTCACAACATGAGTAATACAGGTATCACACAGACACACACACACTGGATTTAAATGGGTCTGTTGTCTTGCCCAATCTATGCACCCATCAGTTCTTAAACCCACATAGGAAAACCTTTAATGTTATTACATCAACACTGCGGTTTAACACACACGCACACACACCTACACACACACACACACACACACACACACAGAAACACACACACATACACACACACAGAAACACAGTGTGTAAAACCAGTTTAAAGTAGAAGAAAGACGTCAACCCTGTTACAACTTTAAAAAAAACAACATCCTCCTTATTTACAGCAGTTTCCATCCGTCTGTCTTTTTAAATGCTCCCTTCCTCTTGTGCGTTTTTCGTCATCCCTCTTTCTCTTAGCTGCAATCAACCAAAGTCCATCTATCGTATTTGTCTACATACTCCTTTCCCCTCTCCATCTAGCACCTTTCCCTCTTTTCCTTTCTCTCGTTGTCTTATCATATCTTTGACCATCAGAAATCAATCCACGTTGTGTTTTTTCCCTCCCATCCTCTCCTCTCTTCTCCCCTCTCCTCTGTCTTTCTCTTGGATGCGCACTTAGGTGTCAAAGGCATTTCACTCGCAATCCTTCAACTGTTCAAGAACACACACACACACACAGACACGCACACACACACACATGCGCTGACACACAGTGACGCCAGTGTGGTGTAAAAATCTATGCTGATGTGATCAGTGCAGATCGTGCTATTGACAGACAGCAATATTCCCACGATAGGACTGATTCACCTTCATCACTGTCACACAGTTTCTGCATGTATGTGTGTGTGTGTGTGTGTGTGTGTGTGTGTGTGTGTGGATGACCGTGGGTGTACAGCAAATGACCACAGTGGTACGACATGTAGGTACAAGAAACAGTAACTTAAAACATTTTAAAAAGGTAAAACAGGCATTATTAATTAAGAGCTTAAACACATAACAGGAATGATTAATGGTGCAAAAAAAAAAGCAGCACAAATGTTTAGCTTTGTGTTTGAAAGATGTTTATTTGTGTGTGGGTTTAAGGTAGTACACTAAGGTGAGCTGTTAGTCGACTTACAGTAATAAAAGCTGGACAAGGCGTATAACCTCCTCTGTGGATTTTTTCCTCTTCCTTTCCTCTCATTGTTCTCTTCCTATCTTATTAGCCTTTATTAGTCCTTACGTCATCATTCTTGTTCACTCTCATTTCATTTCTCTCATTCTTTTTTCGTCTTTTGTTTACCAGGCCATCCATAACTCACCTCTGCCTTTCTCCTCTTATTTCACAGCCTGCGCTCCACTCTCCTCTCTCCTCTCCTCTCTTTTTTTTTTCTCTACACTTTCTTTTATCATAATCTTCTACTAATGCTTTTTATCATTTTTTATCAAAATTTTATTTCTTTTCATGTGGCTTTTTATTCCATTTTGCACCCATTTTCCTTTCAATTATTCTGTTCTTCCCGTTCTTTTTCTTTTTTTTTTATCGTTCTATGTTTTATTTCTTATGATCCTTACATGTATCTTCCACCTGCCCCCCGTTCCCTCTTTTCTCTATTCTCCTCTCCTCCCCTCATTCCTTTCCTCCTCTCCCCTCTCGCCCATTCTTTACGATTTGAAGGCTCATTTGTTAAGAGGAGGTAGTGCACTCTCACTCTCCACCTAGCTTCCTCCTGTCTCTTTTTTGTGGGCTTTGGAAATATAATTTTCAATTTTTAATTTGATTCATTTAGATTTGATCATTAATCAGTGCTGAGAGAGAGTTAATTTGGTGGAAAATAGATGAGGTAGTTAGAGAGGGTTCTTTATGAAGTGAGCTCAGCACAGCACTGGGTCTTTTAGGTATATGGGAAAGAGAGGAAAAATTGAGAGACTGCATGCGAGAGTTTGTGTGTGGTAGAGAGAAAGCCTTGATGAAACAGAAAGTGTGTGAGAGAAAGTGTGTATATTGACAGAAAGCATCTTAATGATGACTGTATGTAGGAACCTTAAGTGCCAATAAATCATTATTGCTTTCATTTTAATTGACAAACAAAACTGAAGCTGAGAAGGCTGATACTTGAGAGAATCTCCTCGTCTGTTTTATAGCGCGGATCACCAGAGACGGTTTCTTTTTCGACATCGCAAACAACACCAAAGATCTCAGAACTACTGGCAACCTTAACCAGTAAAAGACCACAGATTAAGAATGATAGGAAGAAAGATTACTCGTCTTCTTTGCAACAGGAAATATAGACTTTTTGTAAATCAGTGTCATAACAATTTAATTTCACTGTGATATGATTACATCGACAAAAAATAAATAAATACATTAGCTTCCCCTATGATTCTTCTTGCTAGAATTATTCCAGAATCCAACTAAATCTGTCATTTTCAACAGCACTGTCTAGACACAAATTAACATACAGAGCTTATTGGTCTAGTTACTGCCCTTGTCAAGGGAAGCAGTAACTAAGAGCAAGAGTGCTCTGGAAGAAGCCAACACTTGCTTTGCTTCAGTTTAACTGCTCCCTTGAGTGACATTATGGTCAGCACTGTTTTCTTCTGTTTTGATTATTCAGTTGCCAGGCTGGTGTTGTCACTGCTGTATTTTATGGTGCCTTGCATGCTTTGCAGCTTTGTAGTCAGAGTACTTTTCTTGACATCAAGGTAGGTATGTGATTGGCGGAAGCTTCAGGTTTGTCATAAATAGACACACATGCACACTGGTTATGTTGCAGTACAGGCACAGAAATCAGAGATGTCTTGGAATTGAACTTGGATCTGTTTTTGTTGATATATGTAACCACATTGCCGACAACTGGATCTGTAAACCTTTAAGCTTTATCGCATGACTTGCACATGTTTGTTAAACTCCTTTTCTTTGTTTCACGCTGTGCTTATTTGTCCTCCCTATCATAACACCTACCTTTTCACTTACTCCCCCTGTCCTCTAACTCGGTATGTCTATTTCTGCTTTCTGTCTTTCTCACTCTTTTCTTCTGACCAACCACTGACCCAGGTAGCGACTGAGCAAGCTGTTTGTGGGGGCTTACCAAAACACACACGTCGGGATGTGGGTTAGAGAAACATAGACATTGTGTGAATGTGAAGGAGTAGGTGTGTGAGTGAGTTTGTACCCCCTGGTGTTAAGAGTCTCTTGACCGTTTGCTGACACTGGCCCCCCCACTGTACCTGGACTGTCAGTCCTTCTGTCTACCTATCTCTTTCCTAAGCGCTCGCACACACACACAGATGCATGTCATGTCCAGTTCAGTGGGTTGACAACTGCCTGAGCATGTAAGAATTTTCTAAATGCCTACATTTCCATTGAAAACACATGTACACTACTGTAAGGTGTTTTCAATAAACGTGCTCACAAGCATGTACTGCAAAACACAAATAAAACAGGTGAATATATTTCCTTTTAATTACTTGTAAGTGCAGAATAATGCACACACATGCTCCCTGACATTTTATTTCTTTTTCTGTTAAATCTTTTAGGTGTGTTGTCTTGAATGTGGTCAGCACATTTTTCTAAGGATTTAAACCTGTGTGTGATCAAACATCTCGTGCTTTCACACTGTTCCTGCTCCCCTCTCCATCTTTTCCTTTCTCTCTGTGGATCTAAAATAAATCCTTACTGTTTTAAATGCACTTTGTGTCACATAACCTTTCAAATCAGTTTTGCTGTTTGAATATAAAACACCGTACAGACACTGCATTAATATTAGTTTTAGTTTTGTGTCACATTAGGATGCTTTAAACATTGTAGATTGTGTTTGATTTATTTTCAGTAAAACTGGTGTCATCAGTATTTCAACAATAATGTTTTGCATACTGTTAGTTAAACCAACAACATTCAGATTGATCTGCAGCTATCTGAGACTTTTTCAGTGACTTATTGGCCAACTTTGCTTCTCTTCCACAAGTTATTTATTCACTGGTCAAAACAGGAACAGCTCAGAGGTAGTTTTGAAACATTTTGCGGCTCCAGCCTTCTCCTCTCCCCTCCTCTCCTTCTCTTCTCTTCTCCTCCTCCAGGGTACATGACACCTCTGTCTTCCTTATCCATCTTTAAGTGGTAACCACGGTAACATCCAATCCCCTGAGAGATAGGCCTAATTAAATTAGGACTCCTTTATGTCAATTAATTAACAGACAGAGAGGGAGACAGCAATAGAGAGGCCGAGATTGGGCAAGAGACAGTAAAAGATTCAGAAAGCCAGAGAGACAAAGTAAGAGAGAGAGAGGCCTTCTACTTAAAAGGCATCGCTATAAATTTGTCTAGCTCCAGAATAAAAGAGTCAAGTGAGTTTAGCAAGCTAAACAGTAACATAAAAGTGATAAATAAGTGCATAACGCACACACATACATGCACATGGATCCAGAACTCATGTGTCACTTTCCTTCATTCCACACCTCTCATCTCTCCCCTTCCTTCACTTCAGTTCTCCTGTGCTTTTCTTGCATACGTGCAGATTTGGTATTTTTTTTCTTGTCTTCTTAAATAGTCAAAGTGTCTCTTTGTTCTTGTGTCATGCACACTTTATTGATATATACTTCCTCTCCCTGTCGTTTCTTACAGGTGTTCGCCTGGACAGGGTTCGTGGTGGAAGACAGAAGTATAAACGCCGGATAGATGCAGACAACAGCCCGTACCTGAACCCACAGCTGGCTCTGCCCCCTAAGAAGCCATGTAAGAACACACACACACACACACACACACACACACACACACAAACAAACAAGCTCTGACCACCGACAGTATGTAAAGTAGTGTTTTTTTTTGTTCCACAAGGTTAATCTATGATTCTCAAGGGCAGGAATGGGGACATTTTAATTAGTTTATTATAACTCATAGTCTACAAATTGTTGCACAAAAGCATCTGACATTGTGTGCAGAGGAAACAGCAAAGAACATGCAATAGACAGCAAACAAGGGAAATCCTCAACAAAATCTTCAAATTCAGCCGTATTGTATCAGTATGTGCAAGCAGCATTCCTGGAATAACCAGGAGTTATTGTTTAGAGACCAGAAGTACAAGGAACTGCTTTTCCATAATGCAGACAGTTGGACAGTAAAAACATTTCAACAGACACACAAACACACACGCACATAAACAGACACAGGGTAGTGAGAAGCCCATCTGTTTGAGACCATGTTTATTTCCCTGTTTCTACTGCTACCAGTTTGGGATCATAACATTTTATATGTGTAATATTTCACCATAAAGGTATTCATTTAGCTTCGACTGGATTGGTAGTGGGTTTTTTTAAAGAATAAAACCATAGCCAAGGACTGATGATTAAAAAATTAACAAGGGAGAGAGTGAGTGAGAGGGACAGAGGGACAGGTAGAGGCAGAGAGGAAGAGAGACTATACCTAAATGAGAGGGTTTCTCAAATCGAGAGAGGAGGGGAGGGAGTGAGAGAGGAAGGGAGGGAGACCAGCCAGAACCCTAATCCGGATTAAATCCAATCTGGCAACCACATCAAACTAGAGTTAGCTCTCTAGCTAACCGTCTGCTTGCACACACACACACACACGCAGTGCAGATTGAGCAGTGTTTAGCAGCTTGGTCCCCAAAGCCCATTTTGCTTAAAGCTGGAGCATATTCTGCTCGAGGCCAATATGCTGAATGGCTGCACGACAGCTTACTGGGACTTTTGCACTACTAATCATTGAAATGATGGGATAATGTGAATGTGTACACTATGTGTGTGCGGTTATAATGTATTTGTTAGCATGCCCAAGCGTGCATGTGCTCCAGCTATCTGAATGTCTTGCAATAGACCAATTTTCCCTAAACAGTTTAAATTATATTTACCTCTTAAGTCCCATTATTATTCCTATCAAGCACCAATATTGGATTACAAGACCAAATAGTTATTCAGTCTGCATTGCCTACAATTTCCTTTATGTGTTCCTGAACCAAAAAACAAACCCACACTTGAAAAACAAAAAATATAGGGTTGATATAGACTTCTACATCTCTCTTGTTCTGTCTCTCTCACGCAAAGTCAATAGACACACAAAATCTTCCTGTCCCTGTGTCTCTCTCACAGATACACTCACACAGCCTATCTATCTGTAGCCCAATCCCTAGCCTCAGCGTCCCCATTGATTGTGTGAGAACAGAACAATAGCCCTGGGTTTGGAAATGGGCTTCCATTGATTCTAATTAGGGAAACATTAAATAAGATTTACCCACAGATACTGCTGTGTGACTCGGATTGGTTGGGCTCAAATAACCATGGAGCAGGACGATGTGTGTGTGTGTGTGTGGGGATGCATATATATACAGTATATGTATATAGACACACACACACACACACACACACACACACACACACACACACATGGGTTTTGTGTGTGTGTAAGAGAATTGGGGGTGGTGGACAGTGTTAGATCAATACACAACTCATCCCCACAACTCTGTTTCACTCTCTCTTGCTGTTTATCTCTATCTAGCTGTTGCTCTCTGGACTCTTCCTGTCTGTCTTTTACAATCTGTCCATGGCTCTATTTCTACCTGTCTATCTTCTCCCGTTTTTTCATTGCTAATCTCTCTCCCCCCTCTCTCGCTTTCTCTATCCTTCACTCCGCACTTCTATCCTCTGCTATTATTCCCATGCTTGATTAGTCAGTGGATTAATTTGGAAGCAGGGTATCAGTCTGTTACTAATGGGCCATAGAGGTCTCATCACCACATGTCACCATTACCAGCTGAGCTGTTTGGCTTTCAGTATTATCTTTCCCCCCCTGTATGTATCAGTGAAGCTTCTTAAGGCTGTGATACAAAAGACAACATTTTGGGCAACCTGGATCACTGGCATTAATCGTCTTTATTCACACCTTAGAGCATCTTCTAGCTGTAAATACATCAATTAGTGTTTGATCTTTTGTCAAGTGCCAAATAATAAATGCATTTCTCACTTTTGATGTTTTTCTTGAAGTAAATGTGCTTTTTGACAATTTCAAAGGTTTGGTTACATTTCAAGAATTTTCAAGAGTGCCAAATACATTTAACATTCTCAGTTCACATATTTATGAATTGCGTGTTGGTTTCACACAGCATTTTTTCTGTTTCTTTCTCCTAGCCCAATGTTTATGTCAGGTGCTTTTCTGCTACATGAGGAAATACCTTTAGACATATGTGTTACCAGCAGGCGATGTTATCAGGGACTTTGCATATGACCTTTCACATTTTTGCACCTGATTGGTGTGGAACAGCTTGCAGCCTAATAAGGCAAAAATTCACCATCTCTCTGTCTCTGTGTCTTTCTCCTTGTCTGGTGGTCATGTCAGTTGCCTTTGGCTGCCTTGCAGATAACAAAATCGTCTCTCACCTGCTGGTGGCCGAGCCAGAGAAGATTTACGCCATGCCTGACCCAACAGTACCCGACAGCGACATCAAGGCCCTGACTACGCTGTGTGACCTGGCGGACAGAGAGCTAGTGGTCAACATCGGTTGGGCCAAACACATCCCAGGTAGGAAAAAAAAAACTGCTGAACCCTGACTCCCACACTGAACTTAACCTGACTCCATGCTGAGACACTTTCACACACACATACAGGATGTTTTTTTTTTTTTTTTTTTAATTCCACACATATACAGTACAAATGCAGACATGCCTGCTGTGTGAATTGGCAGAGACTTTAAGGTTGGAATCAGCTGCTCCAGATGCATTTCAGGCACACTTACATAATATACTCACAAGTACACCTGGTGTTTCGATGTTACCTTTACCTCTAATCCTTGCACTCAGACAGTTTGAACTATTGACTTCTACATATGAGCAGCCCTCACTGGCATCACATCATCCTACGCAAACACACGGACATACATAGAAATTCTGAACCAAACAATTCAAGCTTCTTCCATTCAGTGTGTGGGTGAGTGTTTTGGTCTGTGTACGAGTTATATAATGTTTGTAGTTCAACTGTGTTTGTGCTGGTATTTAAAATGACTGTCAAAGATCACATACAGATAATAAACTGTATCACTTGGTGTTCACTGTCTGTCTGAAACTGAACAGTAACCAGTTACTGATATGATCAAAGCTGTACCTTCACCCATCCCTGCTCGAGCACATTATAGAGAAGATGTTTTGCTATGTTGTGTGATCCTGACATAGTTGATTTGAACACAATAGCATGTTATTTGTTAAATTAAGTGATGAGCATCATCTGAAATCTAAAGTCAGAGACAGAGAAGCACTATATATATATATATAAACTTTACACCTAAGCACATCTGTATCCTTCCACAGCTTCATCACTAAAAGAGAAGAATTTAATCTAATCTTCTTAAACTAACCCCTTTTCTCTCTTAATCTGATCAGAACTGGATCTGGACTACAAGATCACAAAATTAACATAATGGTAGAGCCAAAAATGCCAACATTACCGAATGAGAAAACCAGATATGACAAATGCATATAACCACAGAAGGTAACATGATGAGGAGGACAATGACTGTGATGCAAGAGAGAAAGAGATGAAAACTCTAATCTGGTTTTAGTCTTAGTGAGGGAGCCTGCTGTGACAGCAGAGAGGAAGGAAGAGCAGTGTCTCAGATTAACACAGATTAGCAGAAAGATTAGTCCCATTGTCAACTAGAAATGCGGTAATAGAATAGAATAGAATAGAATAGAATAGAATAGAATAGAATAGAATAGAATAGAATAGAATTACCCACTGTTACCGCTGCAGCAGCAGTATAGGGGTTGTCAGAGTACAAGAGGGAAACGCCAGATTAGAAACATAAATACCACTCAGTCATGCTGCGTAAATCTATAACAATAAAGTAAGTGGCGTTGGATAACTCAATGTCCAAATGATATGTATATGATATCAATAAATGTGAAAATAACGAAAACAAGAGGAGAGAGAGGGCAAGAGAGAGAGAGATGGGAATATGCATTGCTTCTTGTTAGTGTATTGATCTATGTGCTGCTATATGGACAATAAGCAGACATATATATTGATCCATATACTAAGTATAGCTCTTTGAAAATTCGTTTTTCTTTTTAAAAACAACAGTCCTATACTGTCCTTCCTCTATTTTAACTTCATCTCCCCGTGAGCCTTTACCCCGCTCGTCTGACCTCAGGACCTCCATACTGTAAATAAACTGTATCCATACACAAAAATAACTCTGTGACACCTAAATATACACAAAACCATACATGTGTTGTGTACTTTATGCATTGTTTTGCATCAGGCCTGCCTTTTCTTGTGCTTACTGTTTTTACAAGTGAGTGGACCAAGTTAGCCGGGTTATGTGCTGGGCTTAGCGTGCACGCTTTGTGTGTGTGTGTATGTGTGAGCAGCTTTCTGTATGAAGGGAGCGAAGCGCAACGATTGCTTGGCGGAGGAGAGAAGATGGCGTGATTAGATGAACGAGGAAGGCAATCCACTGCTCACAGAGAAAGATAGAACTCTTCATCTTCCAAGTGTGTGTGTGTGTGTGTGTGTGTGTGTGTGTGATGTGAACACCTTATGAAATCCTCACTGTTTACAACGCTGAACACTGATCTAATACTCACACCAAACTCGCACACACATTCATGTCCTCACACAAAGTGATCTACTGTTCACTCAAGGTGGAAAGGATTGTCAGAAAGAAATACGCCTCCTCAACATTCTTTATCAGCCGCTTACACACACACACGCACACACACGCACACACACGCACGTACACGCACACATAGAGCAGGACAGAATAGACCTGTTAACCTTTTTGAAGCCATCTTGTTTCACATCTTGTTGTGTGTGTGTCTCCGTGTGAGATGACTATGTGCAACGTGTACATGTGAACACACACATGCACAAGTCTCTGCTCGCCATGGTACAGTAATTTTTTTAATCAAATTGATGGAGAGAGACAGAGAGACAAAGAGAAAAAAGACAGAGGCAAAGAGAGGAGAGGTGAAGCCAATTTATGCTTCATGATATGGCTGCGCGGTGCCGCATACACACACGCGCGCACATACGGACACACACGCACACAAAGGCTGCTAACAGTGGTAACAACGTGTCAAGGCGAGCGCCAGGCAGCTAATTTGAAGTCATTAGATGTCTGCCGTACTGGCAACAATTTGTTACGCTCTCACACGCACAAACGCACACACAAAAACACATCACATACACACACTGAGTTAAGAGCCGTCTGCGGATAGCGAGGAGCCTAAATTGTAAACTAATTTAAACATCACTCAGCGTTAGAGAGGCTGCCTGCAAGACAGGCCCCCGGATAACAAGGCTAGAGTACGTGTGTGTCTCTGTGTGTGTCTGTGTGTGTGTGTGTGTGTGTGTGTGTGTGTTGCTAGTCATGTTTGACACACAGAGTCGCCCAACCTTACAGACTTTTGACAACACACACACAGATACACACATATCTCTTTGATTGGTTCTTTTATTCTAAGACTTATGTGTGTGTGTGCATGCTCATTTCCATACTGATATGGCCTTATGCAAACATTTGATATGTCATTAGGAGAGGAAAATGAGGTTTCAGACACAGCGTGTGTCTCTTGTTATCCCACAAGGAATCACACATGTGTACTTCACACATGCACGTGCATCAGGGATGAAATGCATGCAAATACATAACCACAGACCAGTAATAGAAGCCCCTTTTTTTGCTGATTCAAACTGTGGGCAGCGCATAGACAAGTGACCCCACAAATAAACGCACACACGATATACAATATATGGTCACACTCTGGAAACTGTGGGTATGTGGAAATATCAGAAGTTATTATTCAGAGGGCATGAAAGGCCTTACCATCCAATAATATGGATTAGTGAAGAGAAGATCTCATTTTAATAGCTCTCAAAGAGACAACTCCAGTTGCATATTAGGCTACATGTCATTGTCAAGTGTGTGTGTGTGTGGGTGTGTGTGTGTGCGCGCATGTGTGTTTGAAGGAGGAACGGAGAGCAGTCAGGTGAGAAGAGGAGGAGAAGAACAGCAAATATTTAAACAGGAGCGAATGAGAGCGTGAATTAAAAGAAAGAAAGGCCATTCAAAATTAGCCATTTATCTGCCAGTAGAATTTGTCTTTTCATCCTCTTTTTTTTTTTCCCCCCCTGTTCTCTTACTCTCTCTATTTCGGTCTCTCTCCGTCCATAATAACTAAATGACTACCGGGCAGTCATACTAGCAGCTCTTATCTAGACTCGCGGACACAAAAGAGAAAGACAGACAGGCGAGCACTTGACTTGACGAAAGAGCAAGGAAGGAACAAATGAATGAATCAACGAATGAGAGCCAGAACCTATAACACAGTCTATTTTACCAGAACCAGGGGCCTTGCCATTAGTGCTTTTCTTTTTTTTCTTTTTTTTACAACCCCCTCCCCTATTCTTTCTTTATTCAAGAAAGAAATTGCTCTTGGGCCACCCCCCTACTTCCCCTCCACTATTCTCTTGCTTCCCTATCTCCTCTTACTTGCTCTTTCTTTTCTTACAGTCTTTCTCCCGCTCTTTCTTTCTTTCCCCTTTCAATTTTGACACTCAGGATAAGCAGTCTATGTGTCGGCAGTAACGCAGCGTGATTGAGCTGTAAAAATTGGGGGATGGGAGGTGCGGCGGGGTTGCCGTCGGTCCATTCACTTAATCGGTCTTTATGGAGATATGGGAGAAGAGGTTTGGGTGGTGTGGTGATGGGATAACAGGTGAGGAAGGAAATCCTCTCGCTTGATGTTCTGCATACCTCTCTCTGTTTGTCTGCATCACCTACTCGGTAATTCGTCTTCCTCATTTCTTCTCTCCTGTTATTCATCTTGTATGGGTTTGGGGATGCTGGTTAAAATACCCTGTGGTGATGCTGAAAACATAATAGAGGTCCAGGTCACATCACAATCCTATAAACTCTGACATTCCATGCTACCGGGTGACGGTAAATATGCTGAAAAATGTTTTCACTGTGCATTGAACAGCCCTCTAACGCTTTGCTGCTAGGACTCCAGCCCACATTTAACATCTTAATATACATTTCAGTTTAAAGGTCTTTGAAGAGATTCAGTTATTCAAATCCAAACAGTTTTAAGTCACAACATTAGAAATTATTCTGATTGTGATGTATAAAACCTCTGATTTGTGACTTTGTGAGCTTAAAAGAAGATTAGCTTAATATGAGTTTGGGCTTATACAGTGTGATCCATATTGATTAAATTGAGACTACAGCCCCAAGAAAATGTAAAAATTAAAATTTCTCATGACAAAATGCTGGACTGGCAATTTTATTATTTCCAAATTGCTCAGTGAGTGAGGCGCAGTCTCTTCCCAGCCAATTATTACCTGTGGAGTTCCTCAAGAATCCATCTTTAATCCCATTTATGTTTTTATATTGACACCCTGGCCTTTCTTGGCACTGCAAGTGATTCAAACTTTAGCTTTGATTTAAAATTTTTTAAATGTGGTCTGTATTTTTTTCAATTGTTTACTTTAATATTGATCAAAATATCATCTTTTTTTTGTAT